GGGAATTCTGGGAGTTGAAGTCCACTCTTGTTAAAGCATGCTAGCTGAGGAATTCTGGGAGTGGAAGTCCACCCATCCTAACCCATGCTAGCTGGGGAATTCTGGGAGTTGAAGTCCATACATTTTCAAGCCTGCTGGCTGGGGAATTCTGGGAGGGGGAGTCCACCCGTCTTAAACCTGCCACGGTTGAGTAACCTTGACTAAGGGTTTCTGAGTTTCTTGTTTCTACACAAGGAAGTTTAGCTTCATCTATTTATCTGCAGAGACAAGAACGAAACTCACCAGGAACCTCCGAAAGAGACTAATTTTGTCTTCGATGTGCAGGATAGTATCTCGGCTGTAAACAATGTCAAAGGAGGCTTCTGGAAATATTCTTCGGGTCACATCACTGATTTCAAACTGGACCTGGAATTAAAAATGATCAGAGAAAGGGAGAGAGAAAAATAAAAACGGGAGCCGAAGATAAAACATTAAGTGCAAGAACCTTAACAATAACCTCACCAATATTATCCTACTTCAATTCCATATCTTTTCTTTTCTGATTCTTACCAGGGAACTGGGTTCCTTCTGCGCCCTTTCCAAAGCCATCTCCACCATATTGGACGAAAGATCAAGGCCTAAGACCTCCACCCCAAATTCCTGCAAAGGAAATCTAGATATATATAAAAGCAAAATACCACTCACGCATCATCACAAAATCTCTAGAACCGTAAAGCCTACAAACTTGAAATTTGGCCCATAGGTTCCTCTTGGCTTCTAGAGGCTCACTAAGAAAGGATTTTTCCAAATGACCATTAGAGCATTTAGAGTATTTCCTATATTATTATTATTATTAACACGCTCTGATGCTAAGGAGTTCTACTCCCCCTCCCCACCTGAAAAGAAATCTCTTCCAAATGCAAAACATAAGCAGAGGAGAGGAGTTTCAGTTTCACAGCACCAAGCAGCTTTAGTACAGAACAGTTGAGCTAAGCCACGCCCAGGCTCCTTGCTGTCTTCTTCTTGCTCACACAGCAAATACTCTTTCAGTTTCCAAACAGCCCTCAACTCTCTCACACACTGACAGGACGCTGGCCAGAGGAACACCGATGGATGCTGGTAGGCAAAGGCACAGTTTTTATTTCCTTATTTTCCTCCCCAAAAACTAACCCTGACCACATAGTTTTGTAGCGAAGCACCGGTTACAAGCTAACATAGATATAATTGACCGGTTTGGAGATTTGAGGTTTAAAGACCCAACACGTAGTATGGAAGTCCACCTCAACTTAACCTCAGAGTTGAACTTGAGATTTCCCTAGTGAAACAGTACTGACTTCTGAGGTCATTATCATCAGAATAATAGTAATAATAATACAGAGAAACCCAGGGTACCTTGGCCAGGTAAAAATCGCTACCCCCAAGTCCACAGCCGACGTCCAACACACGTTGACCTGGTTTCAAATCCAGTAGGCTGACCAGCTCCTAGGAGAAAATGTGGGATACTAGTTGGACTTCAGAACAGCACAGGACAGGACTGGAGAGGATTGTCTAGTAGTTTAATTAAAAATAAGGACTAGAGGTGACATGAGAGCAGTTTTCCAATATCTCAGGGGCTGCCCCAAAGAAGAGGTCAGTTTATTTTCCAAAGCACCAGAAGGGACGACAAGAAGCAACGGATGGAAACTATTCAAGGAGAGAAGCAACTTAGAATTAAGGAGAAGTTTCCTGACAATGAGGATAATTAACTAGTGGAACTGCTTGCCACCAGAAGTCGTGGGTGTTCCAGAACTTTCCAGAAGAGACTGGTATAGGGTATCTTGCTTGAGCAGAGAGTTGGACTAAAAGACCTCCAAGGTGGGATTCAAATTATTTTACTACCGGTTCTGTGGGCATGGTTTGGTGGGCATGGCTTGGTGGAGTCAGTGTAGGTAGGAAGGAAGGAAGGAAGGAAGGAAGGAAGGAAGGAAGGAAGGAAGGAAGGAAGGAAGGAAGGAAAATAGCAATAGCACTTAGATTTATATACCGCTTCACAGTGCTTTAGAGCCCTCTCTAAGCAGTTTACAGAGTCAGTGTAGGTAGGTAGGTAGGTAGGTAGGTAGGAAGGAAGGAAGGAAGGAAGGAAGAAAGGAAGGAAGGAAGGGCAATAGCAATAGTAATAGCACTTAGACTTATATCTTGCTTTATAGTGCTTTCCAGCCCTCTCTAAGCAGTTTACAGTGTAGGTAGGTAGGTAGGTAGGTAGGTAGGAAGGAAGGAAGGAAGGAAGGAAGGAGGGAAGGAAGGAAGGAAGGAAGGAAGGAAGGAAGGAAGGAAGGAAGGAAGGAAGGAAGGAGGGAAGGAAGGAAGGAATAGCCCTTAGACTTATATACCGCTTCATAGTGCCTTTCCAGCCCTCTCTAAGCAGTTTACAGAGTCAGCCTCTTGCATCCAACAATCTGGGTCCTCATTTTACCCACCTTGGAAGGAGGGAAGGTTGAGTCAACCTTGAGTACCCACAACTTGTGAAGTCTAATCATTCCTCTATCCACGCTAGGGATAGTAGTAAATCCACCTTTAGAGAGGTGATCATTGCACAGTTGACTTAACTAGGTTAGTTAAAACCCTGGTTGTGTTTTGCGGAAGGTCAGTTTTGCATACAGTTAATCATGGATGGTGTTTTGATAGCTTAGAATATTATACAAACAACCATTCATTTTAGATCAATGTTTCTCAACCTTGGCGATTTTAAGATGGGTGGACTTCAACTCCCAAAATTCCCCAGCCAGCATGCTGGAGTTGAAGTCCACCCATCTTAAAGCAGTTACCAAGGTTGAAAAACACTGACGTACATTATGCCGTGCATTGCACAAACTCAGAAAATGCGTTCATCGGGTAGCCAATGTAAGACAGGAAGAAGGACACTTCACATTACCTTGGTGCTTTTCAAGCCCCCTGTGCTGACAAATGTGGGCCCAAAGACCCATTCGTAGCGCTGGATACTCCGAGTGGCATATTGCTCGTTGTCCAGAAATTTCTGGAAGGTGTCATATCCAAGTGTGCCTTTGAGCTCCCGGGGGCCTTTTTGGAGAAGCCAGCAAATCTGATTCTGGTTTTGCTTTCTCTGGAGGGTAAACAAACAGACCATGGAAACAACTTGAAGTTAGGACTGAGAATTCGAGGGTCACATTTGGTTTGTGCTCAAGTTTCTAGTCCCCCGTGTCTTGGCATACCGAGACCACCTTGGCAAAAACATGGTGGTCATTAAAAAAAAAAAGATAAGGCAGGTTGTTTTGCAATTTGTAAGCAGCAAACAAACCCAGAATCACTAGGAATTGGGTGGCCTATAAATTGAATAGATGATAGGTAGATGGGTGTAGATGGGAACAGACAGACAGACAGATAGAAGGTAGATGGTAGATGCAGATAGGTATAAATAGACAGAAATAGATGATATATGGGTAGATAGGTAGATAGATAGAGATGAAAGATAGATGATATATAGATAGACATAGATAATAGATAAATAAATAGATGATAGATAGATGATGGATATACATAGACAGACATAGATAATAGATAAATGATGGATAGATGATAGATTATAAGATAGATAGATGATAGATAGATACATAGATGATAGATAGATAGATAGATAGATAGATAGATAGATAGATAGATAGA